ATATGTGAGAAGCTGCCACGAAGGTGAGCTGATGGTTGATAAAGATATGCCTCTGATTTTCTTTATTTCTTTTAAAGGGAGTGGTCTTTATATCTAGAAAATAATGACCTATACTAGGAACATCATTCGTACTCTTTGGGAAGCAGTAATTCGAGGCAAAAATAATCTCTTTTTCATCAAATAAGAAAAATAAAGAAAGCTAAAAAATGTCAGAATTAGAACTCAAGATCAAATCACTGGAAATTACCTACAGTGTTTCCCAAAATGAAGAAATATTGAAGGAAATTAGGAAAGCAAATATTGAGTTAAACGGAATTGTTGATAAACTAACACAGTTTCTTCACTGTTTTCTAGGCAATAGGCTTATTTATGTTCTAAAATGGCAATGATGGCTGAATGTTGAACATGCACTTTGTGAAAATCTAGAAATCTCTGATCTAACATTTATCAGTCTAAACATAAAGCACCACAAAAGCTTTAAAAGCATCAATGTCAGCACTTCTCTGGCATCCTGGTGGGAATTTCTGAAAATCACAAAGTTCTCACTTTTTTTTGTGTAAGTGTACACCCATCTAGAACAAACCTGACATCCTCCTAAACAAGAAAATGCTATATTTTATCCAACAGAAGAGCAGAAGAACAAGACATCTAGAACATATCATTCAAAATGGATGCTTCATCCCATTCGATGAGCTCTTATCATGGTATGGGCTTAGCAGCAATACATTTCTAGAATATAAAAAACTTAAGTCAATGATAACCAAGAAGTATGTCCTCAACCAACTGGAATTGCAACTCCCGATGCAGAATACTTAAACATCTGCTCCCCAAACTCACTATAAAAAATCTAAAAGTTGATATCCAAGTTTGATGACACAATTTGTCTACCTTCTTCAAAGTGGGAAGCAGATCTAACCTTCAACACCGATGGGCATTTTTGGCCTTGAATGTGTTTGAAAATCTTTAGTGTGACTACAAATCCTAATTTACAGCCTTTACAGTACAAAATTCAAATGTGTTCAGCATAGCATGCTACAGTTCTGCTGCCATAATTCTGAACAGGACAAGGTTAAAATAAAGGATACGTGTTGAGTTAACTGTCCAGAATAACAGCCATTCGTCTTTGAAAAGGTTGAACGGTGACTTCGACAGAGGGATCAGCCCAGACACTGCGGTGAACCTCAGTCCTCTACTGTCTGAAGGCAAAGTTTGGAGGATGTTAGAACACATAAATCAGCTCGATGAAATCAGGTAATTCCACGTTTGTTATGTTTTTTCATCATAGCGATACTGTGTACAAGCAGTTATCTACAGTTCTCACTAAAGTCTTTGAGGACCAGGGTTGGGAATAAAGAGAGTTGTGCCGAGGCAAGTAGAGCAGAATGGGTACTGATGGAGAACCCCCACAGCCACCTCTGGGGCTGCTCCTGCCTTCTTCAGTACTCTTATCTAAGCCTGGTTTAACCCTAAAAAATGACCAGAGCACATTTTAAGGCCCGTCTTCTGAATTAGAGATCACAACTTGATTATATTCTCATCAAATACAATGAGTGTGAATGAAACTTTTCTCTCTTTCTTCAGGATGGACCCAAACTTCCGGATGGTGTTTTTGTTTCCAGGGGAATTGTATCAAGGCTTCATT